CCCCTCTTGTACATCATCAAGTGCTAGGTCTGAAACAGACTTAGACGATCAAAGTTCGCCAACCGTTATCTGCTCAGATACTCTCAACAAACCTACACGAGCCCGAGTGTTCATGTCATCAACCTGGCTGTGTAAGTTCACCAAGTGACTTGAGTCACTACCTCTGCCTTTATTTTTCGTCTAGTTTGCCAGTGAAAACAAGATATTAATTCATATTCAAGGCTTTTATTTTGATTCAAGTGGATTTGTTTCTTCCTAAATAATTGTTTCCAAAAGTTTTCTTTCCGCATAACATAATCACCTCATTTGATTGCTTTTCTTCCCATAAAATGTATTCTCTCTATATTATTCACCCGAGAAACCATATTCCATGAGCCCATAGTTTATTTTGTCTTATGAGTATTGTCCACCATTGGCGTCGTATAGGAGGGCTGACCTTGTAAAATAAATAAATAATACTATAATTATAGCTTTGTTAAAACTGTTGAACTTTGTCATCACAAGAATGAGCAGTGGAGGCTCTTGTCGTCTAGAGGTTGGAGTGTTTGCATCTTATTCAATCAATAGGTCACTGGTTCGAATCCGGATAGCGACGGAACATTTTTCTGCTCTCTAACTTCCTAACAATGTTCTGTCGTCTGCTTTCGTCTCGACTCTCTGCCCCAACTCCCCTTTGACCCTCCTCTGGGCTACTGCAGGACTCTTTCTGCAGCATTTCTGCTCCTACTCCTTTGCTCCTTCTTACTGCTGCTGTCTTTCAGTCACACCCCTGATCTTATGATAAGATCTAACACCTTGCCTTCTTCGTCGAAAAATGTCGGAGGTCCCGTGAGCAAGTTGCACACGTTAAAGATCCCTTGTACGTCCAAAATCGATAAGAGTAGACTTTGGCTGCCACTCGGGCAAAATTCAAAATTTCAAGTCAACTGAAAATGTTTAATGTGTCCTGTGCGCTGATATAAAATGACCTTATGCAGTTGCGAGAGCAGTTAAACGCGTACCAAAACAACAACAACGACAACAACAAAAACAACAACAACAACAAAATGTGCAATGAAACTCGCTCGCACATACGACGTGATATCACCAATCAAACTCCTGGTAGGGTAGTCAACAATTTTACTGGCCCTTTCAGTTAGCCGTGCACAGGCACCAGTGTATTAGGAAAATTGTTATTAAAATTGTCTCTCGTTAAATTCTCTATTGTCATAAAAAACAGACACACTTAATGCAAACAAGGATAGGGTACGTCTTTTTTTTTTCTCTCACTCCTGGTAAGTAAAGAAAGAGTTTGTGACGTCGGTGGCCAAGTGGTTAGGCTACCTGACTTGTAATCGTGAAGTTGCGGGTTCGGGGGGTTCGAGACGCGGGCCCGACGTTGTTGTGTCCTTGTGAAAGGCACTTTACACGAATTTTCCTCCCCTCACCCAGGTGGGAATGGGTACCCGGCTAGACGGTCAGTATAAGAACGTATTGGTACCAGTCCATAAACAGTGAAAGATCTTGTCAGTATGTTCCTGTTTTAGCATCTATAAATGGCCGCTTACTCTGTATGCTTCCAAGGAAGTTGAGGTTGTTTTAGAATGCTCTCTGGTCTGCTAGGGTAATAGTATAGATTGTGAAGCGCACACAGACTGCTATTGAGCGGGTATTTTGGGTTATACAAATCGCTAGCCGCGTAATTCCACCGCCTAAGTGCCAAGAGACAAATTTTTCAGGAGAAGCAAAAATCTGTTTTATTTCATTATGTTCGTACCTATGAATTTGAAATTCAAGTATATAATATTATGATAAGATGTAGGACGATGATCTGTAACTAACTTTGAAAAAAAAGCTTTCTTACGTAAGTTGCGGAACATAGGCGGTTTAAACCTACCAAAATCTGCTAGATTCAAACGCTCAAGTGACAGTATGACGGCGTCTAGGCGTTTGAATCATGTTAATAACGCCACTAGACGAGCGCCAGTGGTCGCTTGGGCGTTTGAATAGCCGACAAATTAAAACATATTTTATTAGTTTTAAGAGTAACTATAAAGTTCAGAGTAATTTTTAAAGTTTTTTGATTGGGTCCTCTAGGGCAGAACTGTTTTTGGCCTTGGTTAAAAAAAAAAAAAGACCATTCATCTTAACGTTCAATTTGTATTGGATGTTTTTGTTCAGTGTTTATCAAAGGCAACATACGTTTGTGACAACGGGGTCTTTTTGTTTCAGCCAGGTCTGAATGATTTAGAAATCGAACATCAAAGGAGGGATGGGGGGTATCGTTTTGCTTTCTAAAAATCGTTCAAGATTATCCATTAACACATAGACCATACCATATTTCAGCGACCTTTCCATTACAGTGTCCTGTCCATTTATATTTGCGTTTATCCTTTTTCAAGGTATTTGTGTTCAACAATTTTCTCCTGTCTGATACAAATGTCGCAGACTGGATACGGCAAGATAGCGTAGTGGTCTGATAAGTACAGCCATTACTGAATATATTGAACGTGGCATATTTATTGTCAGTAGACTCCTCCAGGAAGTTACTGACACAAGAAGAGAATTCATTGGAAATCAATGGTCCTTCTCCTTTGTGTCAAACGTGACACTTCACATCTTTGGTTACCTAATATAAAAAAATAATAGAGACAAATAATTTAGTCCTGTTATAATAGTGCAGCAGATGCGTTCAATGTCATACTAACAAATCCGCTTCCAAGTCCATGGACATTCGACACAATCTGGTCCAATCCACTGGGTTTTGTGTACGCTTCATGTTAGATTCTTTCTCTTATAAGCCTACCTTGCATACATCACAATGATCTTTCCGATATACACACAACAACAGGTTCCTTTAAAAAAAAAATCTCTCTCTACTAAAGTCGCCTGGAACAATATGACGTGACTCTTTCTGTTTTCTGTGGTGCTCTCTATAATAATAATACTAAAGGCCTTTGAGGTTTTGAAAGTGTTAGTCGAGATAGATTCTGCCTGTATTCTGTCTGTAGTAATTGGAAAGCAATTACGTCAAATTGGCAGAAGAATTATTTATAAACAAATTTCTTGTCCTGCTCTGCTCTCTGGTAATTTGAAAAATCGTGGAGCCCCAATCTCCAAGTCATGTAAACTGTCTATGCAACAGTCATGAATAACCACTGTGAGAGAGCAGTTGTATACAAACTCATTGTTTTTCATATAGATCTAGGTAGAATGTATGAGCTTTTATTCAAATTGAAGTATAAAACTGGAGAGTTGAAATTGAAGGGTTGTTGAAGAGAGGATTTTCGGGGCGAATATGTTTATGGGTTGCTTTTTTTTGAGTGACAAATTAAGTATAATCTGCCCAGCACTGATTAACTAATCAATGATTCAAGAATGGTTGGCCTACACGACAGACAGATCTACAGCAAGCGGCGCATACTTAAAGGTAAATTAAGAGACGCGATCAGTCGTGATAAAAATACTCTCCAGTAGTTGTACCGAAGTAAAATAAGTGCCCCTTAGCGGTCCATCATATAATGTACTTTTAAAGAAAAAAAATCATTCGTCGGTACCTTTTGCCACAATCGACTTGATCGAATCAGTATTAACATATCCTTTAACGCCATCGTGCTCTTTTGTCAGCTACACTACCGAACCCAGTAATAGATTACACAAACCGCCTTGACAAAATCTTCTGGCTATTGATAGGGTTCGATCTGAGTCGAAGTTAGCTAAGGCAGCACTTTGTTTTGATGTTACCCTCCAGTCAGACTGTTTCGACAAAGGCCACAGTCGTGTGGGTAGCTTCGCCTACGCGACAGGTGATTCAACCGACAATTCGCCACAGTGCTGCAAAACTGGCACTTGGGCGGTTAAACCACGTGGAAATTGGGGACTGGTGTGACATAGGCGAATAATTTACTGAATGATTGAAACACTTTGCAGTAATCTTTCAAACTCGGGATTTTAACATAAGGTGTATCGAAGGCTGTACTACATAAGGGATCAAAACGTGAATTTCGAACATTTTGTCATTTGGGCCGTTGAATATCACGCGGCTAGCCAAAAGCTAGATCCATCTACTAGATTCTATTAACATTTTTAAAACTGCCGGCTCTATTTCTCCGAACGCTCGGGGAAATAAACTAGAAGTACTTGAACTCTATTTCTCACGCGCGTGCGTTTGTGTGTGTGTGTGTGTGTGTGTGTGTGTGTATGTATGTATGTGTGTGTGTGTGTGTGTGTGTGTGTGTGCGTGCGTGCGTGCGCGCGCGAGAGCACGCGCGTGTGTGTGTGTGTGTGCGTGCGTGCGCGCGCGAGAGCACGCGTGTGCTTGTGTGAGTGCGAGATGCGAGTACGCGAGTACGCGTCCACGCGAGAGAGATTTTTCCTCTCAAGGGAGGTCACTGTAGAAATGCTCGTCAGATCATTTACGGAAGTTAAAAACTTCTCCATCCTTTTGTCAACAGGAAGTTCCAGGCACCAACAAAGTTGTTGATAAATTTTGTGAGAAAATAACATTTGTGGATGATATTTATAAGTGTTCTTGAATTAATTATAACCATTAGGAAAGAAATAATTGATGTCTGCTTCAAGATCTTCCTAGATCTAGAATAGATCTATTTGCTCAAGTTTAGCGAGAATTAGAGTGAGGGCGAGAAGACGGTGCCAGAATCCGGTTCCACTACAGAAACTAAAACTGTTTTCAACACGGGACTTCAACACTTGGACTGTAGGTTACGTCGTAGTTGTAGATCTAGTTGTAGGCTTCAAAATTAGTTTTTGACTGCGTACGTAACAAAATATCATAAATCCGTTAATATTTTAATTTACGACGGAAGTAATAGAGCGGTTTGCACTCTCCAAACAATGTATTTTTCGTTTAAGTTTTGTAAACAATTGCCGGCATCTGACCATTCTTCATAGAGGATGTCTGTGGCGGTCTACATAGAACGACGCACCTGTCTGATTAGCTGCTAATTTTAGTAATGTGACATCATCACATCTTGGGATATCCACAGTCTATTTTTAGAAGGCCGTGGACACAAAGATCGTGTGTAGTGTAGTGTAGTGGCTATTCTCACCCGCCGGAAGTTCTCGCAAGATCAACTCCTCCCCTCTTCTCTCTCTCTCTGTCTCTTTCTGAATACTGTCTATGGGTGTGGACGATCAAATTGACCAAAACAAAGTTAAAAAATGATGTTAAAACACAAAAGTAAATTAATTTGATTGTCTACAAAGATGCTACGGCTATTTAACTTTTCGAATCGAGCCGATCTACGCGGGTCGCCATTTTGTTTTGCCCGGAAATTTTCGCGCTACTCCTCTCTCTCTTTTTCTCTCTCTCTCCACTGCCCACAGACAAAATTGTACGCTTTTAGTTGGCTACAGTTGTAATGGAACGTTTGTTCACGGCACAGAATTCTACAATTTTTCTGTTATCACAGTGTAGAATTCTGTGGTTTAGGGTGAACGCAAAATTTGGTGAACGCGCACCGGGTGAGAATAGCCACAAGACTTGCCTGCACTATTCTCACTCCGGGTGAGAATAGAGGTGGCCTTGCTTAAAACATTTTGCCATCATATTTGGGGGAAAATTCAAAGAAACTGAGTGGTAAACATCATCAATCAGCAGGGGCGAAGGCTGACTTGTTTGACAGGGTAATCAAAGTGAAACGGGACCAGATATGGCCTGTAGATATGACACAAGAATCTTACTCGAGGCGGCGACTCTGAGTTGTGAATGAAAACAAATCCGGAATTCATATTGTATGTTCAACCGCCTAAATAATCGGGAAAGTGTCTTATTAAATATCAGTTCCAACTAAAATTAAATTTAACTTTAGATGTGAATACATAAACACTAGGGTTGGGGCGAGCGGACGGACGGGTTTGTTACTCGCGGACTCAGTCAGAGCGAACGGGTATCGGACGGCAATGAGAGCGAACTGCGAACCTCAAGACAGTTCGTTTTTTGGGTCCGCTCCACAATTTGACTCTCTCAGCGAGCGGACTGCGGACCTCAAGCCTCAAGTCAGTTCGTTTTTTGGGTCTGCTCCACAATTTTATTCACTGGGCGGGCGGGCGAACGGACGAACTCTAGCAGACGAGATACTCGACGTGAGATTAGACCCGTCGTCTATTGTATTAATAAGGCCTGATGTTTCAAACCACTAGCGGTGCCACAGGGAGTGAGAGAGGCTGGTGACATAGTACTATGTGTGTAACCTTTCACCTCGTGCGTGGGGGCACACTGTGTACGTTCCAATTATCTCAAAGGCCGGGGAGGGGGGGGGGCGCGGAAATTTCCGCCAAGAGTAAGAGCCATGAACGCCAAGCTACAATGTGAGACAGGAGGGTGATTTTTTAATATTTGTTTTTGCTTTTTTTTTGGCGGGGGGCGGGAGTGTAAGTTGTAGACAATGGAAGGAGTCGTTCCCGTCCGACCGTCCGTCCGCCCGCTCGAATACATGGAGTCTCTCGGTCCGCCCGTCCGCTGACTCGCTAAACGAACTGTTGTCTCTGTCCGATGTGTAGCGAGTAGCGAGTAGCGAACTACTCTTCACAAACGGACGGTTCGTTACCCGTCCGCTCGTTTGTGGGTAATGCCAGCGGGTAGTTCGTTACCCGCGGACGCTAATATTGCGAGCCCGACCCAACCCTAATAAACACAAAGCAAAGAAGCAGAGACATCAGTACTAGATCTATATGTTATAGATCTACCAGTGAGTCTAACTCTTTGGTAGAACATGACAATTATCATTTTTAAATTTTACATTTGGCTGTTTTTGTTAGCCTTCCGCGGCCAGGAGCTGGTGTCATAACCAAGGTCACGATCTGATTATAGGACGGTAAAAAGTCGAGGAAAAAAAGCAAGTACTTGCAACAGTGAAGAGATTGTTAGGAGTTAGTTCCCCTCACATTTGTGAGGTAGACTCGACCAGTGTTAGTTTGCTTACATAATCAGGGCTTGAGATTGATTTTGACTGTGACCCCAAAGGGGTGAACAGGGTATATGTGGCAATGAAACAGCTTAGACTGCTATGCACATGTTCCCTTCAACTATATTGGTGGACTCTTCCAGCCTCACTTTAAGCTTACTTAATCAAAGATTGCGGCTGCTTATGGAGTGGCCCGAGAGGGGTGAGGAGGCTATTTTTGTGGCCGTGAAACCGTTTTGAATGTTAGGCATACTGTTCATTGTTGATTACGAACGTCTTTTGACATTTAATTTAAGAGGTTTACGTTTATGGATGAATTTGACAGCGACTGTGTTTCAAAATTAGGAAGGGAAGCAGTGATTATTTGATTATATAGACGCTTCGCCCCTGTCAATCAGCAAGAGGAGGTAGCGAAGTGTTAAAGTATTATAAGTATCGATGTGTTTCGCACGTTAAAATTTCACCCTTGCGGCTTACTGCAACCAGTCAGCCATGCTCTGAGTGGTTGCAAGGTTTCCGGTATGAATAACGTTTTTCGTAATTCCGGTACTTGGACATGATGGAAGATCGCTTAACTCATTCGCTACGTATTATTTTCGGCTTGTGGACGAATTCTTTTCGGGAGGGCGAAATGAGATGATGACTAGTGCGCAGTTCACAGGTCTTTGGGGCCATAAATTCAAATAAATATCAACATATTATATACCAACATTTTCAGTATGGTTTGTAGAATACACCTGTATTGTTTATTTGAGTATTTTTCAACTTTGGTTCCTGTAAGAGGCGATTATGCAAGACAATTGTGATTGGATGCGGATAAAATTGGAAAATAAAAAATCTATAATCTCAGGTAAAACTAACCTAGTCAAATGATACCTCAAAATAACCATAACTGTATATATAGAACAGGAAAATATTGAAAAATGTGCAGTTATTTACATACATTCCATAATATTTGTACATTTGGATCACAACATCCGATATTGAAAAAAAATAATTTTGAAAAAAGGATCACAAACAGAAAAAAATAGGCGTAACTTATGTGGAATTATTCAGAATTGCACTTGGAATAAACCTATACATGTCTTGAGTGGTACTTTTTGATTAATTTCACCCAAAAGTAGTGATTCTGGGGAGAAAAAAATATTTTGACTATTTAGATCTAGGCCTAGATCTAGCACCCAAAAATATTGATTTCTCAAATACAGTGCATGGCAATTTGCGTCCAATAGTATCAATATTATAAAAGAAGAGTCCTACACTGAGCAAAATAATGATACATTTTGTTGTGTAAAAGCACTAAGACTGGTGTCTGGGCTATAATTTGGGCTTCGCAATAAAACAAAGTCGAATAAACTACGAAATCATGTTTCAAAACTGAATCAAAACTTCCGATTTTCGGTGGAGACGCTTGACCCGGAAGTCAACATTATATTATGACCTTTATTTTAACATGGATAAGTGGATTGGAATAGAAACCAAGCTAAAATTGAACGTCGGTTCTAGTGCCGCCGGGGGCGGCTTAACGTACTGACGACACTTGAGCCGCGCCGCCCCCCACGGCTCGGCGTAGCGAATGAGTTAAGCTTAGGCATAGATTGTAGTTTCTTGATGCTCAGAACAGTATGAACGTTGATGCTTAAAATTGAAACGTGGTAAATGCAAAGACAATAAAGTGCTCACGAAATTTGTCGTAAAGACGCTGGAAGACTGTACAGTCCCCTTTCAACTCTCTGGAAAAGCATTGCACCAAAGCGTCTTGCCATCAAAGATTCTCTACTACCAATCATTGGCTATATTTCGCTGATCTCGAGAATCCGAAAGTTTTATCCAAGGGAATTTACTGCAAGAAAAGCTTGGAAGTGTTTTCAACTTTCATTTTTGGTGAATTATTAATTGCTGTTTTTAATTGAGTTTTGATTGATTTTCTGTGTTTACAAATTGGTGACATGATTGTGCGACCAGCTGATTTGATAAACAATGTAATGTCTCAGCGACCAGGACCGTCTGGTGATTTGATGAGTAAAAGGGTTTAGTGTCCCTTCAGAAAGGCTAGGGAAATACAGGGTTGGTGATTTTTTTGATTTTTTAAATAAAAATTTAAAAAATCGATTTTTTAAATTTAAATCAAGATTTTTTAAAATTTAAATCAGATTTTTTTGATTTTTTAAATTTAAAAAAAAATGTCGACACAGTTTGGGATTTTTGGTTGCTAAAAGTATGTTCTTTTAGTGCAAAATGCATTGTCTTTATTTTATATAATGATTAATTTAAGCAACCGCAAAAAAAAGCCTTAATCTACTATATATCTATAATATATCAGTGAATTATAGCTACAGACAAAAAATGAAGAAAATGTCAGTCTAAAAGGAAGGGGGGGGGGGGGGGTAATTATGCATAGATAAACTTGCATTTTATTACAGTGTGTGTGTGTGCGCGCGCTTGTGTTTGTCTAAAAAGAAAAAAAATGTTAATTTCAATAATGAAAAAAAAAAAGTAAATTGAATACTGTATTATTTTACAGTAACAGGGGGGAAAGCAGACTTTTAAGCATGATTATATTAGTCTACTAAACCTTACATCTGTTTTATAAAACCAAGGAAAGGAATTCTGAATGTTTAAAGATGTAGAAACAGAATAAATTTTTTAAAAGTGATTTAAATCACTGAGTTTTATCTTTAAAATCAAGTTGGTTAAAATTTTTAAAAATCAACTGATTTAAATCGACCTGATTTAAATCAACCCAACCCTGATTTTAATTGAAAAACAGTGACAGGGGGGAAAGCAGACTTTTAAGCATGATTATATTAGTCTACTAAACCTTATATCTATTTAATAAAACCAAGGAAAGGAATTCTGAATGTTCAAATATATGTAAAAACTGAATACATTTAAAAAAAAGTGATTTAAATCACTGATTTTTATTTAAAAATCAAGTTGATTAAAATACTTAAAAAATCAACTGATTTAAATCAACCCAGCTCTGATTTCAATTATGGATTATATTAGTCTACTTAACCTATCTGTTTTATGAAACCAAGGAAAGGAATTCTGAAGATTGAAATATGTAAAAACTGAATAAAAATACATTTAAAAAAAAGTGATTTAAATCACTGATTTTTATTTAAAAAATCAAGTTGATTTGAATTTAAAAAATCAACTAATTTAAATCAACCCAACCCTGGGGAAATATGTTTATATTGCGTGAAAATCACTGAAAGTGAGGTCTTAGTGGGTATAATTCATGTTAGGCCAGTGGTTTTTTTTCAACAATTAAAATAAAAAAATTCTAATTTATTTGTCAGGCTATAAAATATTCTTCATATTGCACTTACCACGCCAGCTTTGGTAAATTTGCAGGCTGCAAACTCTACTGTTTTTTGGTGTTTGGTGTGGTGAAATAGTGGTTGCATAAAAAACCTGCAACAGCAAATTGGGGAAAAATACTGGGGCCATGAAGTGCACTTTGGACAAAATAGTTCCAAGGCGATGATATGTAAGACAAGTCTTATGTAAATGTATGTAACTTAGTCATACTGTGCAAGCAGGGATATTTCTAAACAAGAAGTTTTAATCAAAAAATGTCAAATGTCTTCAGTATGTGAATAATGAAGATCCTACCTGTCACCCCACAGGCACTAGTTTTGATCAGTGTGACTCTATGAACACGGGTCCGTCCAAACTCCTGTAATGCAATTATTCGGATACAGACACGATACTGTGGAGCCTCAGACCTGGCCCCCCTTGGGTCATTTCCAGTAGAGATCAGTTTTCAGCCCCCTCCAACGCTGACTGCGCATTTCCCGGTCGCAATTCTCTATGGGCCAGGAATCTCCCTTTGGCCAGCTTGGGCATGCTGCTCACTAACATAGTGCCTTGGTTCATCAAAGATTCCATCATTCTATAAGTAGAAAAATAGAATGCAATTTTATGCAAACAGCAAAGATGCGTTGGTCCAAAAAGAAAGAGAAGCATGTCATTCTCAAAAAGAAAAAGACCCACGATGTACGGTACTCGCATTCATGCTAGAGTAGAAGGACACATGTGTCTGAACACTGGAGCTTGAATGGACACATGTCCCAATAGATGCAGCCAGTTTTGATACATGTGAGGCAGCGTGGTGGAATCAGGCTCTCGTCAAAATAACCAAAGTGAAGAAACTGGCTTTTTAGCGCAGGCTTGTGAATTTTTATCAAATTTTTGTTTTTTGGCTCAACACCTTTCTTGCCCATTAAAGAACTAAGTTCTGTGTGGATTTTTCTGAAAAACGTTGATCAAAGGCTTAAAAATTTTTAATCTAAGGAAATAGCTAATCTTTGGCGACCATTTTCTCACTAATTTTACCTCTGAAAACAGGTGACCCCCACCTCCTTCAATTGCAAATATCTCGACTTGTATTCAAGATAAATGAATACTTTTTTCATCCAAATAAAGACAGGTGAACAAGCTTTAAGATGACAACAATAACTCTACATGCCCAAAAATTGACGAGAGCCTGATTCCACCACGCTGCCTCACATATGTAAACTGTACTTTTATTGTGTTTATGATTTTCATGATGACAACTTTTATAACAACCGTAGTCTTTGCCTAAAGGCACGGTGCTCGGGAGGGCTCCTTAGCGTGTGTTTATATGGATCGTGCGTTTACATGAACCTTAGCAAGGGGAGGAAGGGATGCAGTTATCTCAATTCCTTATTACTCTAGTGACCTCCCTTTGGGGTGGGGGTCATTTTGGTCAATAATGGGACGACACGTGACTGTTTTGTGGATTCCCCGACTGGGGTTAAGAATACAAATGTGTTGAATTCGAGGGGGGAGGGAGGGAGGGGGAAAAAGACACTCAATGTAATGAATGCACTGTAGTATAACGTCGGAACAGATACCTTAAGAGGAAACTGATGGTGATAGTGACAGTCATAGAGACGACGGGGCAGCCAAGTGACTTTCCAAGCGACCACCTGCGACCGTAAATTCATGTACAACATTAGAATCATAGATCTCTACTTTCAGAAAAACGTTTCTTTTGTGATTCGTCGAAAAAGTACGTCTTAAAGTTCTTCGAGCACAGCTGATTAGGCTTACTTGGCTAATATTTAATCCTATAGAGGCTTATCAAGTGTTTTACGGCATTTACGCGTGTCACGCTATAAGGCCTAGTTCTAACGTCTAACTAAACATTACATGCAGTCACCCAAATACCAGTCACAAACCTTAGAACGTTCTCTCAAAGATACATTTCCCAGTGACCAATCAAAAAACATTTCAGTCCCCCGATCCCCCCCCCCCCCCCCCCCAACTTTTCACCGACCAGTCCTAGACCTGTTGTGTCTGTGAAAAGTTGGGTGTGAAAACGCTGTCCGTCACTCTCTTTGTTCGGTGTGAGGGGCAGTTTCACCAAATATCCGGTTTTCTAGGCTTGTCATGTGAATGCAAACTGTGCAGGTTGTAGTGAAAGTTTCCCCTTGTCAAGCTTTACCTGTCAGCATGTTTCACAGATCGGAGCGTGCGTTTAGAGGGAGTGACCGTGCGTTTGTACGTCTAAATTCTATAGTTTAAAAAAACGTCAGATGACGACAGCGTGCGTTTGAGTGGAGCGTGCTTTTGTATGGCGTGCGTTTAGGCGGAGACTACTGTACTTAATTTGATTAACCAAGTTACTTATTTGAGCTTTTTCATTCAACAGGTTTTCTCCCATCTTTTCAGCCAATTTTCATCTGATTCATCTTGTGGAGCGTAGAAACGGGTAAGGCGTACAATAGGTAGTGACACGATTTATGTAATCTTGACATATTTATTAAATTTTCTTTTGTTTTTGTTGGGGGATGGTTGGAGGGTGCCACTGGTAGAGTCCCAATTCTTTTCTTTCCCTCTGTTGTTTCTGTCTGTCTGTCTGTCCGTCTTGTTTTTCCCAGCTCTACATGGCCATTATCATGTCAATGTTCTTTTTACTCAAATTAACAAAACTGTTGTTATGTTGTAGAATTAATGGCTGTTTTGGATTTTTGATGTGATGAGTAATGAGTGCCTGAAACTGTTTTGGGATCAGGTTTCTACTTTAATGTTCACTTAATTCAGTTGTTGTTTATAGACTTACAAACCACCAGTGTTCAATGTCTATGTTTCCTCCTCTCCTTTTTCAGTTGTTTTTTTCTCCCTTCCTTCCTTTTTATTTCACTTCATTCTCTCTATTTGTTTATTATTTATTCTTTCTTTTCTTGTTCATTCTTTCTTCCTTCACTCTTTTTAAATTCTTTCTTCCTCCCCACCTTGTTCATGATTTTTTCAGTTTCTTTTCTCCCTGTTCATTATTGTCATTTGTGTCATGACCTGGTAGAATTAGGCGCTTGTCTATTTTTGAGCACATATATATGGAGTTATTGGCATCATTTTAACGCTTTCTCATTTTCCTTGCTTTTGATGAAAAAAATACCCTCTTTCTCTCTGTCTCTCCGTCTCTCTCTGTCTGTCTGTCTGTCTGTCTGTCTGTCTGTCTGTCTGTCTGTCTGTCTGTCT